AACCAAACATAAAAGGTCTAGTAAAGCCAAAAATTAATTTCATATTGATTTTAGAGTGATCTAGCTGAGTTTTTACACTGAAAGCAAAGATTATAGCAATTGTAGTCCATGGTATTTATTTTCAGTCAAACCAAAGTTACATATAATTCTGCCTCTGCTTATACGGGATATTAACACTAACAATACACTCCCTTCAAAGACTTGCGCAGGCCAAATTATTGGAATGCTGGTTTTCTTGACAAATCCAAACCCCAAAACTATGATAATGCATTATGGTGTAGTTGAAGATAGCATAGTCAGATGTTTTCTTAAAACCTAGAAACTACGTGTTGCTTTTCATGTGCCGTGCCAAGTCTTGATAATACTTTTTCCCCCAACCAAGGGACCTCATAACCTGATTATGGTTATTGCTTTACAAACAGTTTTGACAGAAGGTGGCTGCTAGAGCTTAACTTATGTACCAGTTCCATGGAACTGGTTCTTGCAAACTAAGCTCGTTGTTTATTCTTTGCTGAAGTCAGCAAATAGCGTTAGAGAGATACCCAGTCATCTATCACACCAAATAAAAAGGACATAACGGCTTTCAAAAGGGTTTTCCCACTTACCCAAAAGGCTTTCTGAAAGCTTCTACCTCTGCTAAAAAAAAAAAAAAAAAAAAAGAAAAAAAAAAGAAAAAAAGGACAAAAAAAGAAAAAAATTAGAACAATTATGGCAGATTGCATGAAACGTGAGAACGTCACAGTAACTGCTATTTTTCATTATGTTTGTCTTTGGGTCATTATCAACGAACTAGAAGTTTACGCTATAGCATCAAAAGAAAGATTGTTATTGTGAAGGATGGTTTTCAGTCATCTAGGATCCTACTGTAAAGATTATCTGAAAGGGAAAATGGGTCTTTCAGGTGCATTTTCAAAGGCTTTGATGGACTGGAAGTAACTATGAGAGGTGTACCATCAAGAGGGTGGCCTAAGACTACAATGCTAAAGTATGCATACCTCAGTTACAAAACTTTTGAAAGGAAGTCTCAGCCACAGAATGCATATACCTGTAGAGTTTTGCATGGGTTTTATATGAATACAATTTTAAAAAAATAGCTGCTTGCACATTATACCAGAAAAACCTCCAAAACTGCAATTGCTTTGAAAATAGATTTTAGGTTTTTTGGAGTTTTCTGAAATGCTTGGTCTGTATTTTGATAATTGTGCATATTATGTAAAAATGTTGGTGGACCCATAAATGACCAGACTTTTTCTAAGAAAAATGTTGCTTTAATGCATTTCATGAATTTTTACTCTTATATCATTGCTTGCTAGTAATAGCAAATCTGCTTTTCTGCATCTGCTTTGCGTAGCTATTGTAAGGCTTTGAACTAATGTATGTATTTATTGCTTGAACTTCTGTGCATACCTTATAAAGCATAATGTCTGACAATTTAAATGGCTCATGTATTCTTGCCTCTATCATAAGCTGATTATGAGGACTATGATCTTTTGTATACAGCAAATTTTAACTGTAGCACAAACATCTGTTTATGTATTGGTGGAATATACCTGTTTATTTATCTTTTTTGAGGTAAACTAATTTTTGATACTTTTCATTACTGTGTACTATGTTCATACTTTGAATTCTCTGACGTTAGAAGTCATGGTTGAGAATTGTAACAGCTGTTATTTGTTCTGTATTCATGGCTTTCACTGCTGAATAAAATAAAGGACCAAACCTAGGATTTGAAAGAAAACTGTCTACCTCTAACACCAGGGAGTTATCAGATTTTATTTTACATAGTTTTAGTCTACAAAGACACAATTGCTTAAACCTAGTGGGCTTAAGGCTTATATTCTATGTGGTTGGATTCATGGTACAGTTGTACTGTTTGAAAATCAATTAAAATTTTATGTGAATGTTACAAGTATTTGGTAGAATTACAATAACTGGGTTTTCTTTAAATAACTCAGATATAGAGAAACTGTCATCAGCATTCTGTGTCTACGGCTGCTTAACTTCATAAGAATGCATTTCTTTGTGATTAGGGAATCGAAGAATAGTCAGCTAGGAATAGAGCTACAGAAGTACACTTAAAATAAACCATCCTGGACTTTAATGTCCCTGGGCAGATTCAGTCGCAAAAATCCAATAGACCATTTTGTGAAGTTTTCAAATTGGCCATTTACATTTTTGAGAATTGTGAGACTTCATCTTACACATGCCAATATGAACACATATTTGGACAATAGCTTTGTTAATGCCATTAAGCTATTGAAAAGAACATGGCTTATCGTGTTATTTCACTACTTTAGGTTGCAATGGAAGGGATTTTCTTTTGTCCATGAACACTTGGCAAATCTTACTTAGCAAAAAAGAAAGATGTACATTTTACTATAGAATTAATGTATGAACAGTGTGTCACTACTGTTGGATGTAAAAATGTATATGAAACCATTTCATTCACTTGGTTACATTTCTGAAGTATAAATAAAAAAATCTAATTCTTTTTGACCCATTTATAACCATTAGGATTTTATTCTTTCGGAGAGACCATTCTTCCACACCAGAGCCAAACCAGAAATTTGTGTATACATGTCCCACACTTTGTTTAAAATCATTTTCTTAGAAGTTGGGGATTCATAAAACAGACCATGCTCAATAAAGACAAAGGCTGTTTGTTAAATGTGTTACATTAAACACTGTCTTCACGTCCAGCTTTGCCTCCTCACACAATTGTCTCATGTTTTCTTATTTTTTATCCAATAGAATTTGACATCATAAATTTTAAATCTTAAAAACTGCCAATGATAAACATGGTTACTATCTTTATGATTTTATTTCTGCTTGATCATCTTTTTCTTTTCTTTGAAATATCTGACATAGCCATGGCATCCTGCCATGGTTTAGGGAAACAAATGGGGTAAGTAGCTTTCAAATGAATGCTTTTTAAGGATATTAAGGATCTGTTTCAGAACTGTATTAGTGGCAAAAACAAAAGGGAGAGGACTTCTGTAGAGGAATGTTTGCCTTTTTCTTTAACATACTTAGTATTTCTAACTTTGTCATAATCAGGAGCAGAAGAATAATGAATATGTCGAGTGTACTTTTATTTTATACATAATTTAATGTGCTCTGTCATCTTAGTGAGAGGGTACCTTGACTAAGGAGCTTTCCATAAGATAAAACATTATTTCAAAAGAAATGTGAGCATGAGATTAATTTTCTTGAATGTTAGTATTCATTTTTCCACTATTGATTAGTTGAAAGTAAATGATTATTAACTTCTCCTATCCAGTGTATTTTGGTACCCCACCAAAAGTTGTATGACAAAATATGAATCCATTCCTGGGGCTTTCTACATTTTAATATGGAGAGAGCAATTTAGAGATTAAAACTTACAATTTAAGAAAAGTAACACTGCTATGGCAAATATGTGTACTTAAACCTAAATTTAACCTCATATAGTTTTAAACATCAGGTTTTCCCCATATATACTGTTGGATCAATAAAAAAATTGTAAAAATTGATTGCTACATTACTTTTGAATTTTTAAAAAGATTCAATTTAAAATTGTACTGCCCAGATTACAAATATGATATAGGTACTATGCCACATTTTAAACAGTTTCCTTGAGCAAGAAGTAATACAGGTGAAACAGCCAAATCTTTACTATATTTGATCTTTTAAAAGATGATATTTTGACAAATTCCGACATGCAAATGCTAGTGAAAGAAAAGAACCTAAGCTACATATTCAGCTTTGCAACTGTATAGGAAAAATTTAAACACTTCACAAGAATATATGATTTGAGAAAATAAAATGTGGCTTCAGTAACAACTTGACATATTGTTCCCAGTACCCTTTTTATGTCTAGCAATGCTCAACCCAGACTAAAAGGGACGAGGCAGTACCTGAATAAATGGAAATATCAGTGAAAATTAAAGAAATTTGTAATTTGCATTTACAAGTGACTGCTATATTACTTAAGCCAACACATAAACAGTTGTACCCACTCATACATACTTCCCAGATACTACACTACTTGAAAGTTTCCTTGCAACTTTTTGAAATAAGTATCAGTCAGTCTATTCCTAAAGTCAAAGATGATTTTATTCCCTAAATTCTTGGATCTCTAGCTTTCAGTTCTCTTGTTGAAAATAAAAATGTTTACATTGCAAACATTGTCTCTCCCTTTACATTTGACAATCCCTGGATTCAAAAGTTTTGACATTGAATGTTTTCACGCAGAAGGGAGGATGAACAAAAAATAGAAAATGAAGAGATGAATGAAGGACATATGCCTGCCAGGGACACACATGATAAATGTATTTTTTCATCTTTTCATGTCATGGCTATAAAACATGAATCTAAAACTGGACTAGCTGCTCGACACTTATAGGTCCCCTGTGTTCATTCACAAATTTCTCTTGCCCTGTGGAAATTCTGCAAGGCAATTTGCATGTTTCCCTAATGGCATCCCCGTATGCTGACATGGGACAGGGTTGCTAAGCTACCATTCTTTTCCTGAGGGGGCAGCTACATCTCATAGTAATGGGACATGTGGCCCCAGGAGGAGCACCTGGCCTGGCCTCCAACTTACCTTATCTCTAAATATACTGAAAATACAACAATTAAAAGTTACTATTCCTCTTTCATCAAGTGTTGGGGAAGGAAATTCACAAGAAATCTCAGGAGAAAATCGTAAAATTTAAAAAATAACATTTCTCACCTTATAAAATAGCTACAATCATATGTATTCATGTATCTTTCCATGCTAAAAAATTAAGCTTTCAGAAGAATAATAGCTAAGGAAATTTGGATGAATAGTAAGCTAAGAGTCCTTGAAACCAAACAGTACACCTGCTTGTAAATATTTTCTTTAGAAAGGAGTGCTGACCAGCTAATTTACAAGAATCCAAATCAACTGGGCCTTCACTTATTTCATCTGGGAATATTTGACCTAGATATTGAAAGTCTTGTAACAGTATCAAAGACTTGCTGGCAATGTCACGTGTTTATTTATACTTTTGGCCTCTTTGACAATGGAAATCTGTTGAAAGTTAATGTTGAAAAAATTTACAAACAAAAATATTTTTAAAAATTTTTGTAAAATATATTTTACTTCTCTAAAAGGATCCAGACTTTGGATTTAAATCAGGCTGCACACCTGTCAGCATTTTACATCTCTCATTATGTCAGCTTGGTTTCACCTGCCAGTATTTCTTTAAATTCAAAGAAAAATACTGTTTTAAATTTTAGGAAAAAAATCCAGGTCTGAGAACAATTGACCTTAGTCCACAATGAAAGACAAAATGAGGGCTGCAGTATCACGTTGCTTTATAAACCTTTTCCCACTAAAACCAAGACTGTAAGTCTCCCAATTTGAAGAGGACATGACACAGATACGGGTGGGTCAGTACATGGGTAAACACACACACATGCACATGTTTAGAAACACACAGTTCCTGCCAACAACAAAATGCAGAGCGTGTCAAGTTAAAAATATTTGGGACGGTGTTGATCAAAACCCCAAGCCAATTTAAAAACATATATTTCAAATTAAATTATTTTCCCAATAACTAAGTATGTGTAGTTTCGTGAAACAATATAATATGTTTGGTTGCTTTTGGTCTAGGAACCTGTTTCACGATTACAATACTTTTATTTGCCACTGTTGAATGTTTATTTAATACTTATTCAAATATAGTGTTTTTTGTGTTATTTGACAATACTTATTCCACCTTTCATTCTTTTATCTTCCCATCATTTTAGAAATAGTCTTATAGTAGTCTCCTCTGTAAAATAGAAATATCTCATTAATTTTCTCTGCTGCATAAATTTAAAGCCATTACTGGATAATGTGTGAAGCAGTAGTTGTCATTTTGCTGAAGGAATAGTCTTGGGCAAATAACCATTACAGTCATAATTTTTAAGAGGGATAATTTGGCACTGTAATTGTTACTTCTAGCATTAAGAAAAGTTACTGGGTCACTTGAAGATTATGTATGATATATGCAATTTGAGAGACAGTCATATGGAAATCAGACATTCATAGAAGCTTCAAGCACTTTGGAAGATGTTAAATGACATATTAGGGAGTATTTCAAAGAAATCTAATGAAAATCAGGGGATATGTTTTTATGTTGTATAGTAAAGAAATCACAAATTATGGCTTAAAGAAAAGAGTTCATTCTTGATGACTATAATTCATTATGTTGAAGCCCATGAGGACATTAATAGCTAGCAACTTTATGTTTAGAGATCACTGTAAGTATATTTAAAAGGTATATTTTGAGTCAATACGATTTACTTTCCCACTGGGCAAAAAAAATTCACTCACTTTTAGCTTTTAGGAAAATACTAACTATTGAATAATGCAGCATTTTTGTGGCTGAGCTATGTAATACAGCTCCCAGCTGCTGGTAGTGTGGAGGTTTCTATTCCAGTACACTGGAAGGAGAAGGCATTGCAAGCAAGCTGACCAGTTGGCGGGTGTTTTTCCATACAAGGTCAGAGGGAATAGGGTCAAAGGTTGGAATTATGTTTGAGAGAAAAAACTGCTCTGTTGTCATTTGCCAATCTTAATTGGCTTATAATGACTGCTTGGAATGTCCAGAACACAGTTAGAGGCTCAATGTGTCGATGAGGCCATATCTTTCCTGTACAACAAAATATGCCACTGTCTACTAATGGTAACTGCTATGAGGAGAGGAAAGGGAGTTGGATTTGAAGCCTGATAGTTTTTTGACCACCCAGTCTATTTTTGATCCTCTGGAAACAACCAGATCAGAAAAGTAGTCACATAGTAACCAAATTCTTGAGCATTATCAGTTGACAGGATTTATGAGTTGGGAATAATTTCAAATTAGGACACTTAAAGCTAAAACTCAGGAACCCCAACTCTGGTGATGTTGACAGGGAGGGGCAGATTGAGACACCTACTCAGTTGCACACTGGAGGCTTTCGTGGATAGCTGAAGTTCGAATCTCTTGGTACTGCTACAGAGCTTCCTATGCTCCTGGTCTAGCTAAGCCTTTGGATCGCTGATCTGGATTTGTTATATTGAGGTGAAGCTTTGGATGAAGCTATTTCTTTCTCAAAATCCTAACTATAAGAGTTTAAGTTCAAACAACTTCTCTTCTAGTACTAAAGCATGCATTCTTGGATAAAACTGCTGAAGGAGTTTATGAAACTGTGTTCTCAGACCTCTGTCCTCAGAAAGAGAGGTAGATGACACAGCCCTGGTTCCTGGGCTCCTTGCTCTTATGATTGTCAAATCCACCATCTGGCTTACAGGGCTCAGAGCTGGCCATGACTGTCTCTGCCCATCAGTACTGTCATCCTGCACTTTCCAGTACAGTTATACCTGTACCTAATGTCACCTTTCACCATCATCTGTTCTCTAGGAAATGACTGCCACCACAAGGCCATCTCACTTAGCAGGATCCTAGCTGATTCCACTTCCATTGTTTTGGAAGAAACTGCTTCTCACGATTTGTTAAACTGCATTTTAAC